TTCAAGGCCTCTGGTTTCTGGTACACTATCACCACTGGATCCTCACTGAAACTCCTGTCAGCTCCTGCAGGTACCCTTCCACAGGAGCAGTCAGTCCCTTTACAAGCTCTAGGGTGGTCCTAGATAGGGTAGATGTTAGGGTGGGCCAATCCCAGGCCCAACTGGTCAGTCTAGGCCACTGGAGTCACCCCATCCCAGGCGACAGGTTGAGCCAGCTCCCTTCTGCCGTCAGGGTCAGCTTGAGGACCCAGGCTGGACTGTGGGTGGCTTGCACCCGCCTGAGCTGAATCAAGAACAGATATTTTAAGGGGGAAAGAAGGCGTAAATAATTTGTAAAGTATATGTATATGTATAGTATAGTATAAGCAGATTATTGTGAAAATGGGCACAACTTATATAATCCTTGTCTTTCATATTATTTCTCAGATAATTTCACTGATGACATCCAATAGTATTTCAAATCTTTACAGTAATTTGAGTTTAACTTAGAATACAAGTAGTGTTGTGCTAGCAAGGCAGAGGACATTTTCTCAGGGCAGGTCCTGCATTAAGCCCTTGAGCTCACAGTTCTTGATTTTCTGTACTTTCTCCAACCTGCTGTTTAGTGAAGTCCTTCCCTTCTGACCTTCAAAGCCATATTGATACCATTAGCTACTTTCTATATATCTTGATTCTTTTCAATACTTTGAAGATCACCTTTCTGTTGGCCCCATTGTTCCCCCCTTGCTTTATTTTAAATCTGTGGCTCATGGCATAATATAATATAACATAATATAATATAATATACATTTTTGGCTCAAGAAACTGCTTGAAAACTATGGTTAAACTGGCAGTTTTGACCCGCAGAGAAGTAAAGACTTAAGGAGCCTTTGTACTCAAGCTGAGTTTACGCTTTTATTTAAGATTCATAAAGGAAAGGAAGAAAAAAATACATGTAAAAAATTTGAAGGAACTTCTGTTTTTCACACTGATTGAGAAATTTATTACTATCTCCCTAATTATGCATATTTGTATTGATACAGACAATGGCATTTAAAAATCAGTAGCAATAATTTTTATTAGCAAAATGGCTACAGTCATACATCAGAAACTCATACTTAACACAGAGTCAGAAAATGGCAAAAGTTGCTTAACTCATATAAACTTTGATATCTTATTTCTTAAATTGTAATGGACTACACAAACACAATTTACTATTTCTGCTGTTTTTATGTGGATAGTTCCATGCAGCCATCACCTTACCCATCCCCAAAACTTTTCAGTGACTTAAACTCTGTATGCACTAAGTCCCTATCTGCTTAGTTTTTATTACTATTATTATCATCATCATCATTATTATTATTACTACTACTATTATTATTATTATTATTATTATTATTGAGACTCTGTATCCCTGCCTGTGGACCAGGTAGGCTTCAAACTCAGAAATTTGCCTGCCTCTGCCTCCCAAGTATTTTTTTAATTTTAAAAAATATTTATTAAGAGTTACAAAAAAGACAAGAACAAAGCTTTCACTTGCTTTATTGAGTCGGAGACAAACATACAGACTAGTATGCTATAGTTAAGAAATCTTCTTGTGGAAGAGAAGTCACAAGGTAATTCCAGGAGCTCTCTTCAGTGGCACTTACTACTCTGGGACTCTGGGCAGTAAGCAGTCAGCCCCCACAAATGCAGTGAATCCTCACCTGGTTCCTATTATCAGTACACTGTGCAGGAATCATGGTTTGCAAAGCCACCTGTGTCTTCATCCTGCTCACCAGCCTAGGAATCCAGTTTTCCTGCAGCAAGCCTCTCCTGGACAGGTCTGATTGTTCCGTCCATTTCCTACTGTCTGTAATGTGGACGTTCCTGTTTACCACAGGAACAGGACCCGTTCCTGTTCCTGTCCATGTCCAGAGACCATGTCGGACAGCAGTCTGCCCTCAGGACACTCCCCATTCTCTGTATCAGTATTCTGTATTGCTTATGCCACATCTTGTCTGCTGCCTTTTGTCTGGCTACTTGTTTACAGCATTTCATCTGCTAGTTATATGGAACCCTACCATAAATATTTGATACAATGGCAAATATAGCAGCTTCATCATGGTGTGTGTGTGTGTGTGTGTGTGTGTGTGTGTGTGGTTTTTAACCTGTGTAGATAGTGACCATATACGTTGTATCTGATCTCCAAATACCATAAAGATTGCCCATTTCTTAATACAGTATCTACATTTAATTTTGCGGTGTCTAGGAAAAAAATCTCTTTAAAAAATTCTGTATGGTTTAGGACAATTAAGGAAATCAAAGAAGCATTTAAAATGTTAAGACCCACTCTGTTTTCTAGAAGGTATGAAAGCAATACCACTTAATAGGTTAGTTGCTACTCTGCACTTCTGAAGCACTTTGGAGTCATTTGTCTGTCTAAGGGAGGGCATGTTAGCACTGTTGGTTAATAGATGAGAACTTTCCCTCCCTACACTTACTGTATTTGAATTACAGAATTTACCCAGAATATTCTGAGGCAGCAGAATCCTTTTTAGTAACCTCCTCCTCTCCTAGGTATTACTAAGATATTTTTTTCTAGTAGAGTTTTAAAAAGTAGAAACAAAGGCTTGTCATATCTTGTATTAGCAAGAAATATACTTAACTCAAAGATTTGTAAGAGGTTATATTACTCATACAGAATTACAGAATAAATTTGGAAGAAGTTTTTGAGCAAATGTAGCTTTAATATGAACCTAATTCATACTTTTCTTCCTGAAGGAGAGCCTGGGGACTCTTGTACCCACAATAATTCATTTGCTGCATTCTGTTGGCCTGTGTGTGATGTTGTTAACCAAGAAAAAACAAAGAACCATGGGTGTTTCTCCCCTGAGCTTGTCATAATCTGCTTTGAGGCTGCATCTCTGTATTACTGGTTATGTTATTACTGGAAACTAATCTAAAATGAGGGCATGTTTTCAGAAATGTCATAATTTTAGGAAATAAATGGCACAGGCATCTTTCTATCCTGATCTTTATTCATTTAATATTACAGTATCATGAAGGTGACAGTCCCAAAGCCTGCTTTGTTTTGTCTGTTTGTAAATGTTTATTCCTATTCTTGTTTTAGAGCTTTTTAATACTGTATAAAGTATTGATCACTAGGTGGTCTTAATGTGGATCTCTCTAGCACTTCTACAAGGTCATTGTCAGAGAATTTATTCTAATTCAAGGTTAATTAGTGTACCATTAAAATAATGTGTTACAAAAATTAATTACATTGCAGGTCAGAACGTGTTAAAAAGCATAGTGCAAATGTCTGCGAGTGCATCATCTTTCTTGAAACATGACTGTGTGCCATCTTTCTGGAAAATGCATCCAGAGAGAAACTCGCCCCTGAGGCCCAGTCACAGGTGTTTCCCCTAAAGTAAATTTTGGCACCACATGTGACAAATTTAAAATATAACCCCAATTAACGATGAAAGTGCACGCTCATTTACTCTGCCATCAGAACAGCTAAGGATTCATAGTTTAGCATTAGTTGGTGAAACATGATTGGGTCAGACTTAAGGAAAAATCAGGAGCCTGCTTGAGAAGTAGAAATTTCTACTCATTTTGTTGTAAAAATATTATGTTTTCCTAATGTGATACAGTTCTCATTATGCATGTCACACATTGTAATTATGTATAAAAGTACGTAGTATTAAGTTCTCCTACTGTAAAGTAGTTCTCATATGTACACTATGGAAGCATGTCACACACTGTAATTATGCAGTGATTCTTATTAATAGTTGAACTTTATAGCTATTCTAAATAAAGCTAGGACTCTTCTTCTTCCTCTTCCTCCTTCCTCTTCTTTATGCTCACCCTCCTTCTCTGTTTTGAGACAGGTTCTCTCTGCATAGCCCTGGCTGTCCTGAAACTTACTATGTAAACCAGGCTTGCCTTGATCTCACAGAGATCAGGCTGCCTCTGCTTCCCTAGTGCGCCACCATATAAGGTTGATTGGCCCACATTTTCAAACTTGTTTCCCTTTTTTATAATTTTATGTGTGCAAAATTCTTTTAGGATTTTGTGTAAAAAAACACAGGTAAATAAAAGAAAATTAAATACGTGAAAACAATAAAAAGGAAATCTGTAAGGAAGAAGTTGTTCTAGCTATTTATTCCATGAGTTGAACTAATAGATGTATCAAGAGAGTCTAAACGATAAAAAACAGTGTAGGTGGGTTTTGAAAATTGCCTTGGGAGGTGACTTTTAAAGTCATCTTTGTCCCAACAGTGATAGTCAGGGGTTTCAGATTAATGTGGAAAAGCATTTTATTCTTTATAAGAACATCACTGTCACTCTCAGAGTAGAGTTTATGCCATGCATCTCCTATTTTTTCAGAAGAATCCTGCAACTTTGGGGGCTTGTCTATTTGGAGGGCCAAGTAGGCTTCATTTATTAGGTATACCATGATTTTCAGCCAGTCAAAAACAGGAATAATACAATAATAGTAATTGTAGGTCTTTGATATGTAAAAGTCAAAAGTAGTGTGTCATGGGCTGGAGAGATGGCTCAGCAGTGAGGTTATTCATTCAACAAATATATTTTCTGATTTGTGCATATATGTGCACATGTATGCATCTGCACAGAGACCAAAGAACAGCTTGCCACAGTCAGTTTTCTTTCATCATGTAGATCCTGGAAATGGAATTCGGGTCATCAGGCTTGGTAGCAGGAATCTTTATGGGCTAAGCCATTTTGCCAACCAAACTCATATTATTGATTTTATTGCTTATATTACCTTTTTCCATTCTTCAGATAAAGAAATTGATTATACCAAAGAAGTTACTGGGCTTGTGTGTGATATATCAGAAGTAGAACTTGGGGATTCCCATTGCTTGTCTATTGCTTTCCCATAGTGCATTTTATATCACCCTCAGAATAATTAATCTACAGTTTTATATATCTCTTTCCTCATCTTTCTTGGCATATGAACTCTATATGGCCCCACACATAGATTAACAAGTTCCTTCATTGTCTCCTACTTGTAGGGCAGAGCTCTGCTCCACTGGGCATGTGACCGAGGACATAAGGAACTAGTCACAATCTTGCTACAGTATGAAGCTGACATTAATTGTCAGGTAAGAGTAGCTTTTAAATGAGCTTGCTTTTCTTCTTTTTAATTAAGATTCATTCATTTTTATTGTATGTATATGGGCATTTTGCCTGTATGTATATGTGTATGCATGTATGGTGTTTTGCCTGTATGTATGTATGTATGTATTGGATCCTCTGAGATAAAGTTACAGAGGGTTGTGAGTCTTGGGAATCCAACCGCTGTCCTCTGAAGAGCAGCCAGTGCTCTTAGCCACTGAGCCATCTCTCCAGTCTCTAAAGGGAGCTTAAAAAAAAAAAGCTGGAGTAAAATTCTCATAAGAAAATGTTTGCATATATCACAGTAGTCCCTGCTATAGAGCTCACAGTGTTGCCATCGTCCAGTGGGAAACCCTGTAGCACTTACACAGTTGCTTCTGCTTTCCTCCAGCCCCAAACATAGCAGCCACTAATCTGCTTTTTTTTTTTTTTTTTTTTTTTTTTGAAGACAGAGTCTCTCTGTGTATCCCTGACTGTCCTGGAGCTCACTCTGTAGACCAGGCTGGCCTTGAATTCAGAGATCCACCTGCCTCTGCCTCCCGGAATACTGGGATTAAAGGTGTGCACCACCACCACCTGGCACTAATCTGCTTTTTTCTGTGTGGTATTTCATGTAAATGGAATCATGAAATAAGTGCGTTCCTGTTTTGTTTCTTTCACATAACATATTCTCAAGGTGTGCTTCTGTTAGGGCATGCCACAGGGCTTCATTCGTTTTTATGGCAGGATTTTAATTCCTGAGCATCCCATGTTTTCTTTATCCATTCATCAGTTGATGGACAGTGTTTTGACAGTTGTAATAATGTTACAAACATTTGTGTTTTTCCTGCTTTTATGCTTACTTCTGATGTCTTCTTTCAGTTACTCTGGTTATCTAACCTAAGGGTAGAATGCTAGAATCTTATGACAACTTTTTTTCAGATTTATTTTTATATTACATGTAAAAGTAGTTTGCCCACAAATATGTATGTGCACCAAGTGTGTGCCTGATGTCTTTGGAGGCCATTAGATCCAACTGTAGTTACCAACAGTTGTAAGCTACTGTGTGTGTAAGCTGAGAATTGAACCCAGGTCCTCTACAAGAGCAACAACTATCCCCATCTGGTAAGCTATCTCTTCAGCCCCAATCTTTTGGAAATTTTTTTCATACTTTTTTGTTTGTTTTTGCTTTTCGAGACAGGGTTTCTCTAAGGCTTTTGGAGGCTGTCCTGGAACTAGCTCTTGTAGACCAGGCTGGCCTCGAACTCACAGAGATCCGCCTGCCTCTGCCTCCCGAGTGCTGAGGTTAAAGGCGTGCGCCATCAACGCCTGGTTCTTTTGGAAATTTAACATGTAATTTTTTTTATGTGTAACTTTTGGGGAATTTCTGTTTACACCTCCACCACCAGTGTTTGAGACTTCCAACTTCACCTATTCTTATTTTCCCTTCTTTTTAAAATAACCATCCTAGTGGATGCCTCATTATTATATGATTTTGATTTACCTTTCCCTAATGACTAAACGGTGCTGAGCTGTGTGTGTGTGTGTGTGTGTGTGTGTGTGTGTGTGTGTGAGAGAGAGAGAGAGAGAGAGAGAGAGAGAGAGAGAGAGAGAGACAGACAGACAGACAGACAGACAAGACAGACAGAGACAGAGACAGAGACAGAGATTTCTCTGTGTAGCCCTGACTATCCTGGAATTCATTCTTTAGACCAGGTTAGCCTCTAACTCAGAGATCTGCCTGTCTTTCCCTCCTGAGTGTTGGTATTAAAAGCTTGTGCTACCACTGCCTGGCTTTTTTGGTATATTTTAAAATTTATATTTCACTTTACAAACTATTTGTTTATGTCTTTTGCCTAATTTTTATTAGATTGATCATTTCAAAAGGTTACAGAAACATTTTATGTAGCAAGACAAAGTTTTAATGTTAAAACTGTTCCTCATGGTTTCTTCTGGAACTTTCTCCCTTTCATGGTTTCTTTGGGCCGTCTAGAATTACCCTGTGTCTTGTATATGTTAATAGAGATTTTATTTGGTCCAGATGCCTAGCAGGTTGTTCCGGTGCTTTTCGGATGGTCATCTTTGCGTCTTGTGACTTGCGGCATCTTCCTTACCATATATCTGGTCCTCATTTCAGTCTGCTACTGGGCCTGCCCTTCCATCTCATTACTGTTTTTCTGTGTGTTCTTAGGCCACACCCTTTAAAGAGCATAGCTTCAAGTATTTTAACATTGCATAAGACAGTTTCTTCACTGTTGATTCAGAATTTCTTCTACAGTTTTGCTTCGCTGTTTGTAAATGTTTGGAGTTGTCTTTCTGCTGCTGCCTTCCTGAGCCACTACCTCCACTAGGTTAGAGGGACAGCAGGACCCTGTGGGTGCAATCAAGTCTTTACAGGACTGTAAGTAATTCAAGGGTATTTTAAAGGAAAGTGTTCCCATGTTAGGCATTGTCTGAGGTTTTTTGCCAGTTCTGTTGTTGGAGTAGTACAAAGCAGTTCCAAACCCTGCCTTGTGTGGCTTCCTAGAGCATTTCAGTGCAGAAATGAGGTTCCATATGGGTTTTAGGACAAATTGGTTAGGATGGTGTGTTGCCTGACACAGTGTTTTCCTTGCCCCCTACATTCACGTGGTCATTTTATGTTGCTCCCATCCTTTATAAAACATTGTTCTTGATGACTATAATCTTATCTATCTAGTGCCAGTTAATGGGAGTGCTCTTGACTTTGTCAGTTAGAGTTGATAACATGCTTCCAAGTCAGAGGGCTTCTGCAGATTAGGTCTCAGGGTAGCTTTCCCACTGTTGCTTCTCTTTTTGTTATTGAAAGTGCTTTTCAAATATAGACAATGCAAACGTAATAAATGGAAGGAAAGGTTCAGCTCTCTCATGACTCAGTCTTTCTTAAACAATATTATTATTGACTGGCTTATTGGTTGCCAAAAAGGAAAATCAATTTTATTAGAACTATTTGCTTGGCCATAGATCTTGGTACTAACCCAGCACAGGCAGGCTGATGTTATCAACTATCTGAAGAGTCACTTTTACTGTGAGTCTAGAATGAAGAATTAGAGCTGTGTCGGGTCTACTCTGTGTATCATTGTATTCTTCAGTCTATCTCTTAAGTCCCTGTAGGGAACTGAAGTAGCTGTGTTCCATGGCACGCCGAGGCTGAAACTAATGTTTATTTCTAAGAAAGCCTTTATGATTTCGTCTGTTAGCCATGTACTAACGAATATTTTGTTTCTTCTACTTAGTTTTGACTTTTGGTTCCACTTTGGAAGTTAGGTTATTGTCACATTTGGTATTAGGATAAGTGTATGTGTGTGTTTGTGTGTGTGTGTGTGTGTGTGTGTGTGTGAGTGTGTGCACACTCCATGTGCTCTTCTTCTTGAGTCATTTTCAGTTCTTGAAAGTATCCCACAAATATGTGATCTTGATACCTCTGTTGCTGTAGTAAAACACTCTGATCAAAAGCAGCGTGAGAGGGGAGGGAAGAGGTTCATTTCAGCTTAAACTTTCAGGTCCCAGTCCATCCCTGAGGGGAAGCAGGGATGAGGGACTAGAGGGAAAGCCACGAAGGAATAATGCTCAGCTAGCTTTTTTCTATAGTCAAGGACCACCTGTGCAGGGGTGGCCCCACCCACTGTGGGGTTCTCCCCATCCTTCATTAATTAAGGCAGTCTTTCCCAGAGATGGCCATGGGCCAGAGCACTAGATCATCAAGTTGACAATAAAATAACCAAAGCAACGTTAAAAAACATTTGGATGTCAAAGACTTAATGGTAGGTAGTCTCAGATTTGAATAAGGTAGTATCAAGGCAGTAAATGGATAGGGGAGTGTGAGTTTCTGTGGGGTGAGAGTATTCATCTGTGCAATGGGTGTAACAGATCAAAAGAGAAACATTTTGCTCAGGGGAATAGAAGTGTTTAAGGACTTCTTAAAATTTGTTTTGTTTTGAATCACAGTTTCTCAATGTAGCCCTCTCTGTAATGGAACTCACTATGTAGACTAGGCTGGCTTTGAATTACAGCCGTTCTCCTACCTCCCCTTCCCAAGTGCTGGGATTAAAGGCCTATGCCACCACGCCTAGCTGGGACTTTAATCATATATCAATTACATGGATTGTGGCTTACAAATCAGCACAAGGGCAGTGTGCCCTCAGTGAATACCTTGTTGCTAACTATCTATTGTAAAAGGCTTCAAAACTGTGAGAAAACTACAGAGTAGTAAATAAACCATTGGTGATGCTGCTGAATGTGATGGTAGCATGAAACCTTTCCTGGTGTTTACCTGTGCCCTGTGTTTGTGTGAGTTGTCTCTTAGGTCATCACTGCAGCCCAGTAATATGCACATACTACTTTCTCTGTCCTACTGATGCAGAAAACAAGAGCTTAGAGAACCTGTGTGAGAAAGCCAGAATTGAACATCTTCTAACCAAACCTGGACTCTTAACCTCACCACTGTAAAACTCTTGCCCTTTGTTCATAGGTACTTTTCCTTCATTTAAAATTATTAAAGCATAAATCAGATTCAGTGCAGTACATTATACATAAATCCTAAGGATGCAGCTCTGTGTGCATGTGCACACACACACACACATACACACACACACACACACACACACACACACACACACACCCATGCACTGGCCCTTGTGACTATCTCCTATATCAAATTGCAGCATTCCTGAACTAGGGAGGTGTGCTCCCCTAAGCTCCTCCCTGTCACTCTCCACACTTCCCGTACCACCCTGAAATGACTGTTACTCTGATTTTTATCATCACTGATTACTTCTAGCTCATTGTGAAATTTGAGCCTTTGTAATAGTATTCATTATACAGTATATGATACACAGTATAGTCATTTGGATATGACTTGTCACACTCAACATATTATTTGTGAGGGTCATCCCTGTTGTTACATATACTATTATTTTTATTGCTGTGTAACATTCCATTGTATGCATATACTGCAGTTTGTCTCCCTTCTGTTGGACAGTTAGGGTTT